TTACTGTAACACTGAATTTTTTGCCTTGGAAATGATCAGAGATCATTCTGTTTTTTTTGAGATTGCACCCAAATATGGGCATTTTGGACTCTTTTGTTGACCATGAGGGATACTCTATTTCTTCTAAGGGATTATTACCCATAGTAGTAGATATAGTGGTCATCTGAATTCAATTTGTCCATTCCAGTCCATTTTAGTCCACTAATTCCTAAAATTTTGATGTGAACTCTTGCCTTCTCCTATTTGACCATTTCCAATTTACCTTGATTCATGGACCTAGCATTCCAGGTTTCTATGCAATATTGCTCTTTACAGCATTGGACTTTACTTTCACCACTAGACACACCCATGGCTGGGCATTGTTTCCACTTTGGCTCAGCCTCTTCATTCCTGCTGGAGCTATTTCTTCACTCTTCTCCAGTAGCATATTGGGCACCTATCGACCTGGGGAGTTCATCTTTCAGTGTCATATCCTTTTGCCTTTTCATACTATTCATGGGGTTCTCAGGGCAAGAATACTGAAGTGGTTTGCCATTTCCTTCCTTAGTGGACCATATTTTGTCAGAACTCTCCACCGTGAACCATATTGGGTGGCCCTACATGGCATGGCTCATAGTTTCATTGAGTTAGACAAAGCTGTGATCCATTTGATCAGTTTTGTTAGTTTTCATTTTGTCTTCCCTCTGATGGATGAGGATAAGAGGCTTGTGGAAGCTTCCTGATGGGAGGGACTGGCTCTAGGGAAAACTGGGTCTTGCTCTGGTGGGTGGGGCCATGCTCAGAAATCTTTAATCCAATTTTCTGGTGATGGGTGTGGTTGTGTTCCCTCATAGTTTGTGACCTAAGGCCAAACTATGGTAGGAGTTATGGTGACCTCCTTCAAAAGGACATAGCCAGCACACTATGGCTCCCAAGACTGCTGTATGCAGTGTCCCTGACCCCACAGCAGGTTGCTGTTGACCCACACCTCTATTGGAGGCTCTTGGACACTCACAGGCAAGTCTGGCTCAGTCTCTTGTGTGGTTACTTATAGTACTATGGGGTTACCTCATAGATGATTAAGAAATTCTGTGAATGAGTGTTTTCCATTTTTTTCCTTAATAAGGAGTGCACCTGGAAGTCAGGTGATGCAACTAGTGTCACAGAGTATGACAGTGATCTGACAGTTCAGGTTTCTCCATAACTAAACAAGATAAAAGTGAAAGTGTTAGCTGCTCAGCCATGTTAGACTCTTTGGGGACCCATGGACTGTAGGCCACCAGGCTGCTCTCTCCAGGCAAGAATACTGGAGGGGGTAGCCATTCCCCCCTCTAGGGGTTCTAACCCGGGTCTCTTTCATTGCAGGCAGATTCTTTACTCTCTGAGCCACCAGGGAAGCCCAAGCAAGATAAATGTGGCACTTAAAATCTGATAATCTTTTATGGTCAATTTTGAAATCACTGGAATGTTATTTAATACAACCAGAGTGGATTTATTTGAAAAAGTAATTGTGATTATCTTCTATTTGGTCCTTAAATGTTATTTTTGAGTTTCAGACTTAGGATGTGTTTCCCATCAAGTTAGTTATGTTTCTTTATCTAAGGTCTGCATTGCACTACACAAAATCACTTCGACAACAAGCAAAAATAAATAGGGATTGAAAGCACCAAATAATTACAAAACAGTAAAATTAAATATAGAGTGAAAGTACCAAATAATTACAAAACAGTGTTCATTACTTTTGATAATATTAGAAAACATTGTAGTTTAAAATATTAATATTTTCATAATTTTTTTATTGACAAGTGGTCTAGAACCTTGATGAACACTTTTCTGATAATAATTTCTGAGACTAATAAATAACATGGCCTTCTGCATTGTCTTAAAATTCAGAAAATAATTTATTCCTTAAAATCTCTACACACTTGTTTAAAAATGTCTTATTTTCTAGAATTTGCAAATAGGAAATCACAATACCTCATTTGCTCAAAGCTCAACCCATACCTAATGTTTGTGCCTCATAATTCTTAACATGTTTCAAAGAACTAAAGATAGAGACTAAAAACAAATAAGATTAGTGACTATTTCTCATGAAATAGGAAAATGTGTTTGAAAAATATAATTGGTAGAATAAAATAATATTGTTTTTATATCTTGATTTTTACCCCAATATATTGAATACAATTTAGTGGATAAAAAAATATAAGGCAATCATTAACCATTGTGAAAGATCATTTATGAGTCATCTTAAACTGTTTTAACAACAATAAAAAATGATAACTGTAAAAAATACACTGGAAGTGTAAAATGGGCAAAATGTTTTCACATACACTTACCTATTTGAATCATATAACTACCCTGAGCAACTGATAATATATTAGTAATTATTTATATTTTACTTATGAAAAAAATCAATGTGTTTACAGGATGAGTATGTTGTGAAGCCCAAACAGGGCCTAGACTATTGATTCTTCATCCAGTTATTCACCATTACTACACAGGCAACCGACATGATACATTTCTGTTGAAAGTAAAGAAAGATCCTGTCGCCCTCCCTGTTCTTATTTTCAGCTGTGTTCCCAGTAACTAGCTGAGCGCATGGATGATAAATATCTGGTGGATAGCTGGTAAATAAAAACTCCCAGTCTGATAAAGGGTCAAGAAACTTTATTCTTATAAATGAGTTAAAAATAACAGACTGCGTGAAAGAGAGTCTTACAGGAGAATTGGAGATGTAGGACGGAGTGGGCTATGTTGTTGTTTTCAGCACTTGCTCCTCCATCTCAAATAGTGAAGTTTAGCTGGAAACATGCCCACATCCACACACACACACACACACACACACACACCACTATGTATTAATAGATACATGTCTCGGCAACGCCAAGGCTTTTTTCCTCATCTGATCCATTAGTAGAATTCTTCACATAAAAATTTGGAGCATTCTGAGTTATGTTAGTGTGTGGTAGAATTAATTCCATTAGGTTAAGTCCAGGAGGAAGTAGAAGTTTTGTAAAACAGTTACATAATTATGACTGCTTTGAGTTATCATATGGAAAAAACCAACACATACAGTGTAAAGCAATTTTCCTCCAACTGAAAAAATTATTTTAAAAAACCAAACATAAAGTCATTGAGTGTGAATTCCAGAGGACAGGATAAAAATAATTGTGATAGAGAACAGGGTTTGGAGGAAGTAAGAGTTTAGAATAATAGTGACAAAGGCCAACATGACTTTAGAATGTTACAGATGATAGAGGAAAACAAAATGTAGGCTTACTCAGTATCACAGAGTGAGAAGATATGAGGTATGGTGGAATTAATTGCTTCAACACCTCCAGGTGCTTAGTCTCTCAGATGTGCCCAAATTTTTGTGATCCCATGGACTGTAGCCCACCAGGTTCTTCGTCCATGGAATTCTCCAGGCAAGGATACTGGAGAATGGGTATCCATTTCCTTTTCCAGGGGATCTTTCTGACCTAAGGATAGAACCAGGTCTCCCTCATTGCAGATGGATTCTTTACCATCTGACCCACCAGGGAAGCCACCTCAAGACCTCAAACAGAATACTAACTCAGAGTCACATGAATAAGAATAAAGTGAAGGTTTCAGAGGCAATAACAGTGTTAGCTGGTAGATGGCAAACTAGTCTGTAGAAAAATGCAGAAGCATAACTTGGTGGGCTGGAAGTTCCCTTAAATTAAGCTCAAAAAGAAGCTTCTGGTAGTCAAAGACAGGCCTTTTGGTTGTGACTGTGTAATCCATAGGAAGTTAAGTATAGGAAACACTTGAAGGTATTTTAGATGTAGATTTCCACATGTATATCATCAGTCTTGGCTTCTCTGGAACTCCAGATTCATACTGAATTGATAACTTGACATTTCCATTTTTATGTCTAATAGATATCTCAGATTTAATATGTGCTAAACAGAATTCTTGATTTTCTCTCATACCCACACATGTTCAGTCTTCCCTATATCAAAAAACAATAACATTACTGACTCAGTTTAATCAGGAAAAAACTTTAAGTTATCCTGATGCCTCTCTCTTTCAATTTTACACTTCCCAATTAAAGCAAGACCTGTTAATGCTACTTTTAAAACATATTCTAAATTCATCCACTATTCTCAGTCTCCTTTATCACCACTCTAGCCCTAGGCACTTATATATCATCTGAATTACTGAAATCACCTCATGCGGGTCTACCAACTATGATTGTACACACTTACCTTATACTCTCTACAGAGTAGAAAGAGGGATTTTTAATATATATAAATATATCACTTCTTGGCATAAAATTATATCCCACTGCATTTAGAAAAATGTCCAGTTTTCCTCCTCTGATTTACATTAACTAGCACAAACATGACCTCATCTCCCCTAACCCACCATAATCCATATATATTTACCTAGTTCTGCTTCTCTAGCATAAGCGGCGCATGTCTGTCTTTTGCATTGTCTGAATACACGGTTTGGAAAGATATTTCCCTAGAGTTTCATGGAGCTGTGTGCTTCTTGCCACGTCTCAAAATTAATAGCATCTTGTCAGAGAGGATTTGCTAGACAGGCAGTGTAAAATTGAACTCTTCGTGCTAGATATCACTTCGTTCATCTTAAGGATTTGATATATAACTTGTTTGTGAATAGTTTAATTGGTTGAATAGTAAACTCATTTATACTACGCAGGACACTCTGGGGCAACTTTATTTAATAGCTATATAATCTTACAAAAACACTTAAAAATAATACATGTGTCACAGTAGTGTTCTCATATAAAAGAGTATAAATGACAAATTGTGGAGAGTTTACATGATAGATAAAATACTCAATAAAGGACTCTTGATTGGATAAAAGAAGAAGGATAATAAAGAATAATTAGGAAAAAAATGTAGAAGAATGAAAGGTAGCAGAATTTGGAAGTTGAAATGGCGTAGAAGGGGCATGAAAACTATGTAGGGCAGAGACAAAAAACAAGATAATTGATGTCTTGAGGGACAGGAGAGCTAAAAAACAATACTGACATGGTAACTCATTTTTCAACAGGGATAACTGGACAATCTCTTAAAAGTAAGGAGAGCAGTTCGTCAGTGCCCGGAGGATCAGAAACAATTCAACCACCTGCTGCGGGCTCAGAGCCCACCACCCTAGTGCCTGGGGTGGCAAGCACCAAGGCCACAGGATCCGAGGCCACTTTACCTTCAACTGCCGTGTCAGGGTTGCCTGGCCCCACACAAGGAGGATTTGCAGCCACTGGAGGGAGTGGTGCAGGCTCAAAGCCTACTGCCCCGGGATCAGGAGAAACAAGGGCCAGTGTTCCATCAGGAACCAGCGTACCTCTATCTGGAGCACCGGGGACCCCTGGATCATCACCGGGAAGCTCGCAAGCAGCTGGCGCAGGTGGTGAAGGTTCAGCGACAGCTTCCCCGTTGGCTGGAGCCACAGGGGCAAGTGTTATCGGATCAGGAGCCAGCACACCTCTACCTGAGGCGCCTGTGACCCCTGCGTCAGCCAGTACAAGCCCAGAAGCAAGGGCAAGACCTCCGGTCAGTTCCGAGTCAACGGTCACATTGTCTGGAGCAACAGGGCCTAGTTTTCTACGGTCTGGAACCAGTGTACCTTTATCTGGAGGAGCAGTGACCCCTGGGTCATCCGCAGGAGGGTCAGCAGCACCTGTCAGCCCTGGGGCAGGTTCAGGAGCAACTAGACCATCATCTGTAGAAACAATGCCCACTATTATTCAAACTAGAGTTAATGGATCATCAGGTGAAGGATCAGGAACAATTGGGTCAGGAGCTGCACTGACAAGAACCACTAGTATCTCTGTTGTAGTTTCAGGGACAACTGGATCATCATCTGGAGAAATGGGAACCACTCTTACTGAATCTATTACTAGTGGGTCATCTGGTGAAGGATCAGGGACAACTGGATCATCAGCTGGACTGACCAGAACCACTAGAATCTCAGTTGTAAGTTCCCGGACAACTAGACCATCATCTGGAGAAAGAGGAACCACTGTTTTCAAATCTCTAACTAGTGCAGCATCAGGTGAAAGATCAGGGACAACTGGATTAACAGCTGAATTGACCAGTACCACTAGACTGTTGGTTGCAGATTCAGAGACAACTAGACCTCCATCTGGAGATATAGGGGCTACTGCTACTGAATCTAGGACTAGAGGGTCATCAGTTGAAGGACCAGGGAAAACTGGATCAACAACTGGACTTACCAGAACCACTAAGACATCTATTGTTGCTTCTGGGACAAATGCACCATCATCTGCAATGACAAGAACAATAATATCTGGTGTAGCCTCAAGGACAACTGGACCATCATCTCGAGGAACAGGGACAACTCTTATTGAGTCCAGAACTAGTGGATCACCAGGTGAAGGATTAGGGACATCTGGGTCAACAGATGGACTGACAAGAACCACTAGCATCTCAGTTATAGGTTCAGGGACAACTGAACTGTCATCTGGAAAGAGAGAAACCACTATTCCTGAATCTAGGACTAATGGATCATTAGGTGAAGGATCAGGGAGAACTGGATCATCAGATGGACTGACAAGAACCACTAGAATCTCTGTAGTAGGCTCAGGAACAACTAGACCATTATCTGGAGAAACAAGGACCACTTTTATTGAATCAGGAACACGTAGAACATCAGCTGAAGGATCACAAACAACCGGATCAGCAGGTGGAATGATAATAGCTACTAGAATATCTAGTGTTGATTTAGGAACAGCTGGTCCTTTACCTGGAGAAACAAGGACCACTGTTATAGGATCAGGAACAAGTGGAAAATCAGGTGAAGTATCAGGGATAACTCGATCACTTGATGAACTGACTGCAACCACTAGGTTTTCTAGTGTAGCTTCAGGAACAAGTGCACCATCATCTGGAATGACAAGGACAACTGTAACATCTGGTGTAGCTTCAAGGACAAGTGAACTATCATCTGAAGAAAAAGGGACCAGTGTTACTGAAACAACCAGTGGATCATCAATTGAAGGATCACAGACAACTGGAACAGCAGGTAGACTGACAATAACTTCCAGAACATCTGTTGTAGTTTCAGGAACAGATGCACCATCATCTGGAACATCAGGGACGATTAGGTCATCAGCTGACCTGACTGGAACTACTAAAGTATCTGTTGTAGATGCAGGAACAATAGAACCATCAACTGTAGAATCATGGACAACTGAGCCCAGAGATTTAGGTTCATCAACCACTGTATTTTCAGCCAGTGCTATAGGAACCACTAGACCTAGAGCATCAGGGGCAAGTAGACCATCTGTTGTAGGTTCAGAGACAGCTGGTCCATTATCTGCCAAAATAGAGACCACTGTTACAAGATCAGGATCAAGTGGATCTTCACTTGAAGGAAGAGGGACACCTGGATCAACAGATGGACTGACAGGAACCACTACAATCTCTTTTGTAGGCTTTGGAACAACTGGACCATCAGCCAGAGGATCAAGGCCAACTGGGAAAGGAGATATAAGATCATCAACCACTGTATCATCAGTTGATGCTACAGGGAACATTAGACCTGGAGGATCGGGCACAACTGGACCATCTATTATAGGTTCAGAGACAGTTGGACCACCATCTGGAGAAGCAGGGACCACTGTTACAGGATCAAGAACAAGTGGAAAATCGGCTGAAAGATTAGGGACAACTGTATCAACAGATGGATTGAGAAGAACCACCAGAATCTCTCTTGTAGGTTTAGGCACTACTGGACCATCATCTGGGGTGATGTGGACAACACAAACATCTATTGTAGGTTTAGAGACAACTAGATCATCAACTGGAGTATTAGCGACAACTAGACCATCACCTGGAGGATTATGGACAACTGGGCCATCAGTTGAAGGATCTGAGACAACTGGGTCATCAACTGGTAAAATCACAGGAGCCAGGAGAACAACTTGGGAGTCAGGAAGTGAAGTTGCCACATATGAAGGCAAGTCAATTTAGCCATATTTAGGTAATAATATTCCCCGATGGTGCTAGTGGTAAAGAACTAGCCTGCCAATGCAGGAGACATATGAGATGTGGGTTTGATTCCTGGGTTAGTAAGATTCCCCTGGAGGAGGAAATGGCCAGCCATTCCAATATTCTTGTCTGGAGAATCCCCATGGACAGAGGAGCCTGGCAGGCTACAGTCCATGGGGTCGCAAAGAGTTGGACCTGACTGCTACTGGTAAGTAAGCAGGGGATGCCAGATGCATTTTTTGGATTTGTTTTCATGCTCACTGGCTATTTAAAAATGCAAAATAAGTAATAATAATTCCAGTTAATACAATGCTTTTAAATATACTGTCTAATTTAAATATTTATGTAAGTATTGCTATCTCATTTTACTCATGAAGAACTTAAAAAAGATATTATATAAGTTTGGTCCAAGTTCTACAGCAAATAAATAGTGAAGACAGTATTTCTATCCATTGTTTACTGATTCAAAGTCTGTTCTCTACCACAAGGGCATCTTCCACTAAGGCAAATATACAATGATCTTTAGTTATCCATTAATAAAAAATTTTGCTTTTAATATTTACAAATCTTAAATTTCCCCATTTCTAACTGCAAATAAGAACTACAGCAGCAGATAATAAAAAGAGGTTCACAGCTTTTAATGTACTATCAAACTTTGGCCTTTGCCATTCTGAAACTGCAAGATTTGGGGCATTTTATTTATTAAAACTATAATATTATGTTTTACAAATCAAAATTTTATTTCTTAATTTCTTTTTGCAATTATTGCAACATTACACAAAATTCACAAACACTTATAAGGCAATTTTTTCCTAACAATAAATGAATTAAATTCTTTACTCAAGGCTACAGTATATTATCAAAGTTTCCAGACTAGTAATGTACTCATATCATGAGCATATTGAGAAAAACATCATTTCTCAGTTTGCAGGTTGTCTAATAGAACCTAGGTTTTAGTAACTAAATTGTCTCTTATTTAAGGAAGAGATTGTTTATTCTTTATTTTTCTGTTTTAAAGATTTACCCTATGCTTATTCTTGCTGCTATTACAAACTCTACTTATGTAAAATTATTTTACAAACTAATCACTAGAATATAATTTGATCCAGACTATATATAATTATTATCTATTCAGCCTATAGTTATGTTAATCTAAATGAATAACCTTGCTTCAAATTATGTATTGAACATCATAATAGTAAATTAATTTCATAGTCACTAGTGTGTGACTACTGGGCACAATATGTATTTTGCCTTTTCTTTTTTCTTTTTCTTTTTTTGCATTTTCCAAGTTCAAGATTTTAGCCTTTAACTGGAAGCAAAGAACTATATATGTGTAAACATTTTATATGGGAAAAGGGAAATGTTTCTGTTTTTAGTTAATGATTTGTAACTCATAGATGATTTCTTAAAAGAGCATTTTAGTTTCTCTTCCAAGAGGTATTTCTCACCTTGAGTTGAATTTCTAAGATAATCTCAATGAAAATAACATATTCCATATTCTTGTTTTTTAATAAAAATGTTATACATCATGGCAGTTGAAGCACTGAAATGGATTTTAAAAATAAAAATTCAAATATATTATTTAACTAAAACATGAATTTAATCTTTCCTTTATTAGGCTCAGACAACACAATTCCACCAGAACTCATTGCAGATAAATTGAAATTAAAATGACAAAATTATACTTTTTCACAATGTGCCTTGAAATAACGTTTCACCTTATCATAGTGCTAGAGTCAATGTGGTTTATTTTAAATATATGAATATCAAAATAAATCAAGTAATTGATGAGTAAAATTTAGAAAGATGAACCCATCATCTGCCTTTTTCCTCCTCACTCTTTCCTTACCCTCTTGCCTCTTTCCTTCCTTCCACACCAGGGAGCCCAGGTCTGGAAGTAAAACTAGTGAGGGAGAATTGTCAGTGGGATCTATGAAAAAGGAGTAAATAGGTGGGTCAGGAGAGGAAACTGGGAAGTAATTGATGGTTCATTTCCTTTAGAATCAAAACTCTGCAGGAAAGTTCTTCCAGTGTTACTTCAGTATTCATTGGGGAGCTAATGCTGTGTTGATCTTTTAATTTTTCTCACTCTAGGTACTTCAGGAGAATCCTCCAAGGGAACCATATCTGGGAGTTCCCACACAGGTAGGTTAACAAGAAGGAACTCATGATATTTAACTGCATAGTTCATTTCAGTTCAGTCACTCAGTCACGTCCGAATCTCTGCGACCCCATGAACCGCAGCACGCCAGGCCTCCCTATCCATCATAAACTGCCAGAGTCTACCCAAACCCATGTCCATTGAGTAGGTGATGCCATCCAACCATCTCATCCTCTGTCATCCCCTTCTCCTCCTGCCCTCAATCTTTCCCAGAATCAGGGTCTTTTCAAATGAGTCAGCTCTTCACAACAGGTGGCCAAAATATTGGAGTTTCAGCTTCAACATCAGTCCTTCCAATGAACGCCCAGGACTGATCTCCTTTAGGATGGACTGGTTGGATCTCCTTGCAGTCCAAGGGGCTCTCAAGAGTCTTCTCCAACACCACAGTTCAAAAGCAACAATTCTTAGGCACTCAGCTTTCTTTCTTTCTTTCTTTAACCACGTAAGGTAGTTAGTAAGCCCATTCTTGTAAAATATCAGCATCATTCTTTTCCTATTATCCCAAATCCTCAGACCTCATCATTCATCATTTTATTTCCTCAGAGGCCACAACTTTAATAGCAAGCAACAGCACATCTGGAACTGGGCTCAGACCTGGTAAGAATGAGTGGCTTGAAGTTTGGGGTTTAGCATGAATTATGACTCTCCATAGACTAACCTACTGGGAGGTGTGATCTCTTACAGAGTAGCTTTCATTGCCTTTTAGATTTAACGTGTTATGGAAGATCTTTCAATACCATAATCTAGCTTGTAACTGTCTAAAGATGGGCTGGTGTGTAATTGGTGTGAAGAGTTTCCCCTTGGGATGGCATACACATCACTAGTATGTTAGGGGGAACCAAGGAATATTACATACCTGGGAGGAAGATAAAGTGATGTGAACAGTCCTACTATATAAAGATTTTCTTTGCTTAAATAATAAATTACAATATTCAGTATTTTCCTTGGCACATTCAAATATTTTCCTGCCTTTCATCCCACAGAAGATAACACTGCTGTAGCAGGAGGCCAAGCGACTGGGCGTGTGACAGGTGAACCTGGGAGAAAACCACCCTTCTTCCTGTCTTGGAATAAATGAGATGTTTGAGAAAGTTGCTTCAACTTGGGGATATTTTGATTGCTTTCTTAATGACATGAATAATAGAAAAGTCATACAACTCTCACCTCATCAGGAAAGCAGTGAGAGGACCCTTTGATATGGCACATTTCTCCTAGAGGCAGGACTTTAGAAGATAAACACAAGTGATTGTGATGACTAGATCTTTTGCATTTCAGGTACCACTAAGGTAATCCCTGGCACAACTGTTGCCCCTGGAAGTTCCAACACAGGTAATTCAACAAAATGGTAGGGAATCTTCCATGGGCCCAGTTATGATGAGGTTCCTCAAGTGTTATCCTACATCAGAGAACTACTGTATCTTTTCTGTGATCCTTACATGGTTTTCAATCATCTCTCTTCCATTTCCCCTTCTCTCAGAGTCCACAACTTCCTTAGAGGAAAGTAGAACAGCAAGAAATGGAATAATCACAGGTGAGCACTACTGAGTTACTAAATGTGCTTTCTATTAATGATATCTTCCTAGTAAAAAGTCTTGTCTGAAATATATCAAAACTATTTGAACTTCCATATTTAGCATATTGGGCAAAATTTTAGCAGATGTTCAATATTTGACATCAATAACTTCAGTTGAGACCCTTCAACTTTTTCTTTTTGGGCCCTAATAAGCCTCCATGTTTGCTCTAACAGGCCATCACATAGCCCATTCCCAATAGTTATACAGGTGATTTGGCCCCAAATCTGTCTCCTTTAACTAGAACCTAAAAGGAGGTCTCAGTGGCAGAGGACTTTCTCCATAAATTTATGAAGGGAATGAAATATTTTGAAAGAAATACATGGATGATCTCTTGAAACTAGGAAGTCCAGAGGAATAAATTCACTGGTATATGGGAGAAACAGTTTTTTAAAAACCCCATGTCCATTTCATCATGGGTAACAAATCTACCACAATTCTTTTATTTCAGGCACAACTGAGAGCAAATCTGGCAAAACTCTGGGACCTGGAAGGGCCAACACAGGTCAGGAATTCTGAACATGAACCCTCAGGAGATATAGACTGTAGAAACCCAGAATGTCCTATCCACACCCCTAGTCTTCATCCCCCCCCCTTTTTTTTTTCTCTCAGAAGCCACAAGCAACATAGGAGGCAGTGGGATCACCCAAGGAGGACTGCCAGGAGGTGAGTTTTTAGTCCAATACTTGGAGCTCTCACTATTTCTCTATTTGGGTTTCTGTGGTGAGAAAATGAATGGGAAAGAATATGAGAGAGGGACTTGATGTATCTATTCATTCAAATACTCAGGAGCTTCCTGGATGAAATCTGAAACTTGGCTTTCAGATCCACAAAGGGAAAGATGAGACCAAAGAGAGGCAAACCACTCCAGATCGGTGGGTAGCAGGTTTAATAAGCAAGGGAACTTATGTACAAGTCTTGTCTTGGGCAGCTGTCAGACAAATAGATCTCTGTATCTATCTAACAGAATCTTAAAAGTTTATATAGATACCTTAACTGAGTTCAGTTATATATACTGTCCTGAAGGTTTCAACAACACATTGCTCTATCCAGGATGCATCCTTGCATATGGCTCCCACTATAGGAAATGTGGTCACTATGTAAATTCCAAGGCCAGGGCAGAGGGGAAGACATCACTGATAACCTGGGTATAGCTTTAGGGTCAACTAATTGTCATATTCTCTTCTTGAACTCCTTTAGCAGTATTGTACTATGTCAACCCAAGTAATTATTCTTTGGAATTCTAAGACCTCAGATGTCTCAGTCAGGCTGTCCTCAGTGTTATGGCTTACAAGGATTTGTTTTTCCTGATAAAAAGGTGTGCATACATATTGCATGTATCCAAACCCCCTGAGTCCTTCCAATCTTCCTTATCCAACTTGCGTTCCACCCACAGTCTGCACTCTATCATCTCTCTCATATACATGATGCTTTTTATTTATTTCCTATTTCTTCTCATTGGAAAGCTTCATGAAGGCAATCAAAACATTACAACTTATACCAAAGATTACTTCTTACAAAGATTAAACCATACTTTATTCCCTCACTTAGTCACTTCTGGCACAGCAGGTGGATATGACCCTGGACGTAAAATAGGTAAGAGTGATTTTTACTCCAGCTTCTTCTTCTTGCATAGTGAAAGGGGAAACCCAGTAGCAACACATCCATCCAAGGCTGACCTGGGAAATGAAATGCTGTAAAATTGTTTATTTTCCGTTTCCACAGATAGTCTTCAGAAGCGATACCCATGCTTTAGGGACACATTGATGCTTCCAAGATGAACTGAGGAGGAAATTCTCTGTTGCTGTATTTACTTTTTGCATTTTAGGTACCACTGGAGAATTGTCTGGAACAGCCATTGCATCTGGAAGTCCTAACACAGGTAGGTTAACAAGAAGGAAATTCCCCATATTTAATCTCAGATATCATGATCTGTCTCTTAGGGCTTCTATATCCAGATTCCCAGATTTTATTATTATCCTGTTGCTTCCCTCAGAGATCACAACTTCCACAAAAGAGACTAGAACTGGAGCTCAAACCTGTGAGAACGAAGAGTCTGTGATTTGGGGTCATCAGTTTTAGAACTCTCTAGGCTTTCCTTGAAAAAGTTTGTGTGAAATTTAGGGGCACTGCAAGTGAGTCAAAATGGGTTTGCTATTAGAGATAAAATCTTTTTGAAAATCCATTAAATACAGAACTGAGCTTCACTGCTTCAATTTTAAAGAAGTATGGGATTTCTCCATTGGTATTATAAATATCACTGGCATATTAGCTAGAATCCAGCAAGTTACCCTTTTTGTGAATTCCTTCTGGCTGAAATAAATGCAGAGTGCAGAGTATATTAGATTGCATATAATCTATGGAAGTCTTTGTCTGAGCCTCCAAATTCCAGAGTATTAATATTTTACCCAAACCTTTGAATATATGTATATGGCAGAATACGCTCTCTCTCTTTCACAATCTGTCTCGTCTCTTCTCTTCAGGAGTCCAGAGAATTGTACCAGGGAGCCAAGTTTTTGACAGTCAAATAAGTGATCATGAGAAAATATAAATATCTCCCTGATAATTACCAATATTCATAATAAAAGGACTTCTGGTGTAAAAATATAGTTTTACTTAACTTTTTTGGAAAGAAGTGTACTTGTGGGAAGATATATGAGGAATCCTAGAATAGGACTTCAATGCCTGAAAAGAAGCATAATGATTTTCTTCTTAGCCCTTTTTGAATGTAAAGGCAATGTCATATAATCCCTTTTCCTTTATAATTTCAGGTACCAGTAGTGTAGTCTCAAGCCCAACTATTGCATCTGGAAGTTCCAGCACTGGTAATGGGATTTATACAAAGCCAATCATCCCTTATCTAATCTCAAGGAAAAATATGTATCCCCAAACATACTTTTTCACTATCCTAATTTCCTTTTTCAAGAGGCTAAAATTTCCTTAGAAAGCCTCAGAGTCACTGTGATGAAATCAGTGAGAACTAGGATTCCCAGATGTGCGCTTTGCTTTTGGGAACCATCATGAATTTGCCCCTGGATCAGAGAGAATATACAGAGAGGGGAGATCCTCCAGTCCATATGCAGGGTCAAAACACTGTTGATTCACACCTCAAAAATACTGCCTGGCCTTGTGTGCATTTCTGAAGAGGGCAGTAGAGTAGTAATTCCCTGGAAGACTAATCCATTGGATATTATGGGTGTTACTGCAGGAGTCAACACTCCCAGAAAGTTCTGTCTCAAGTAAGAAGATGACTAAAATGAACTTAGATATTTTTTGCCTCCGATTTGACATTTAACTTGAGCTTTAAATTCTAAATTGCCTAATGGTTGGTTGTTTCCATGAATGATTAAAGATCATAACACACACAGAATCTTTTATCCTACTTTCAACCATTAGGGACAACCTCTGGAGCATCAGACAATCAAGTCACTGAAAGGAAAACAGGTAAATGTGGAAAAATTCCTGTTCTTAGCTGAAGCTCTTGTGTTATATTTGCTAACTAGGTCTACTAGAAAATAGTCTTCTTGAGTGAAAAAAAAAATCTTCATTTATTTTATTCACTGATGAATCTCTAGTACTCAACAGGGCTCAATAAGTATTTGTGGAACGGATGATAAATTGATACATGAGAAAACACACATGATTCAATCCAGGAGCAGAAAGGCCAATGAAAGGGCAGGCTTACAGGGCTGACATCTGGACAAAATGTGAATGGTACCTGTGGAAGCGACCATGCACAATGTAACACTGAATGCTGTGGTTCTGGAAATATACACTTATTTTTATATACTGATTTTATACTCAGATTGCCTCGATGTGAAAGATTCACCATGTTAATCCCAAGTCCTTCCCATTTCAGGTACCCCAGCTATGGCCTTCAGTACCACTGTTGAACCTGGAAGTTCCAGTATAGGTAAGTTAACAAGCTAGAAAGGAAGCATCGTTTCTGGAAATAAGATGACAAAAATGTCTTCACGTTGATTGTCTAAAGTAAGAACATCATAGCCTATTTTCCTTTCTTCCTAAATCCTCACCTTTTATCTGTTTCTTCTTTTTTATTTCCAGAAGCCACAACTTTCACTGGAGTAATTAAAACTACTGTAGTGGGATAGAAAATAGATGAGAATTATTGTGTGTGTGGTGTAAGACTTTTGTTGATAAATTAGAGCTGACCCTTGAACAACATGGGTTTGAACTGCACAGGTCCATTTATACCTGGATTTTTTTCAATAGTAAATATTATTGTTACCATGCAATCTGTGGTTGGTTGAATCCATGGATGTGGAACTATGGATATGGAGGAACTGTGGATACAGAGGGCTGACTCTAAATTATTCATGGCTTTTTTGACTATGAAAGGAGTTGGCACTCCTGATACCTGCCTTATTCCATGGTCAACTATGCAATTTTGTTTCTTGTAGAATAATTTCTTGTGGAGGAAGTTTTTAGGAACTTTCATCTCATATCAACAATGTTTTTTTTTTTTTTTTGTTACTTGATTTTTAATTAAACTGGGCAGATTTTTCAAGTCCCCCTGTTTCTGTGGTTAAGCCTCATAAATATATAGATCTCAGTAAATGAGAGAAGCAGTAGTAAATGGCTATAAAGTCTTCTTTTTCTGTTTCCCAATTTATGCATCACTATGAAATTAAATGAAGGAAAGAGTCCCAGAGGGTTCTATTTCAGGTAGACAGAAGGCTACAATAAACACAGGAAACTGATCTCTGTTAATTAGATTTTTCCTTGAAAACAAAAGTGACTGAAATGTCCAGTGGTTATCCCAATAACTGTCTATCTTTACATTCAAAAGTCTTTCTATTTTCATCCTCTTAGGAACTACCACTGGAGTGTAAATAAATGAAGGAACAGGAAGCACCTTAGGTGACCATAGTGGGCAGAAGAATAAGGGTCAGAGCATGAAGAATCCCTACCTTACTACCATTAAATTCTAGAAGAGGGGGCTCCTATGTTAAGAACTTTGCCTCTTTGCTTGATTTGGGAATAAAACTACGCATAAGAGAACACAAATAATTCACAAGCAGCTGAAAAAGCCCAAAAGTTGACCAGATTCCCCCCACGAGAGGAAAAGTCATCACTTCTCTTCCTGTTGCAGGTACCACAAGGGAAGCTTCTGGCACTAAACTTGGACCTGGGAGTTCAAAAACAGGTGAGCCAACTACCTGGAGAGACCGCTCCAACAGGAAAACCTCTACTGCTAAAGGATCTTCATGGTGCCATGCAAGAAAAGTACCCTTAACTTTTCTCAGAATGCTAAATTCTCTTCATCTTACATTAAAAAAATAAAAACTTTTATTCTCTCTTAGAAGCTATAATGCCCTCTGGAGGCAGTGAGACCACAGGAAGTGGAATAAATACAGGTGAGCACAAAAGCTTCATAGCCTCTTCACTTTTCATTTACGATAGCAATAATAACTAACTCTTTTGAGTGCTAACTATGTGCCAGGAACTATTCCACAATGTATTATTATTGCTTTTCTCTCACCACAAATTGTGAGGTAACTGTATTTTCATAGATAAGAAAATCTATGACTCGGAGATGTTAACTAACTTGTACGAGGTCACACAACAAATAGCAGATTTCAGCTCAGGCAGTATGGCTTCAAAGTCCATCCACTTAGCCATGATACTCTGCTCTGACTACCACACTGTGTCACTAGACTTCTTTGTCACATGTCTAAACTTATCCTGAACATTAAAATTTCTATAACATCAATACTTTACCCAAATAAAAATATAGTGGGCAATCACCCCTTCATTGCTTATTCTTCTAGGGGGATCTAGTAGCCAAGTCACTGGCATTAAAACAGGTAAGTAAAGGAAGATACCTTTTGTCCCTGACATCGATCCCAGAGAAAGGAATTAAGTCATTAAGACTCTCACAGTCACCCCACATTGCACCCTTGCCCTGCCAAATTTTTATGGGGAATAAAATATTACATTAGAAAAAATATTAAAAACCATGGAACAAGCTATCCCTGAAAACCACCTTTTCACATAATAAATAAGTCATATAATAAAGAAACTAGTGTAGGATAATTTTCCTATCCTATATAGAATATACTCTTATTTTTTAGAAATAAAATTGACATAATGATACCATTCAATTTTGCTTTCAGTTAGTACTGGAGGGGGTCTTGGCAGTACTGTCTCACCTGGGAGTTCCAACACAGGGGAATCAATGAGAAAACAGGGCTATAATTTCTCTCTTGGGGCAAGTTCTGGAGCAATAGCACAGGATGTCTTTTTATGACTTTCTGTTAGCCCTCACTACTCTCTACCTTGTCACTCTCAGAAGTTAGAGCCTCCAGAGAAGGAAACATAACCAAAGAAAGGAAACTGGCAATTCTTGAGTTCTGCTTTTTCATAGGGCATTTGCTAAAGGAAGCTTTTATTTAGGATGATTATATCATTTCTTCTGGGGTAAACCTTATACTGTTCTTCTTAAGAGGGGAGTCCAGAAAGGATTCTCTTTTCTGACATTCAAGCTATTACCCTGGTGTAAGATGGAGGCAACATATTAATATTTCTATACAGTTATAACTAAGGAAGTAGAGCTGGTGGGAGCAAATCTGGAAGTTTATACCCATTAAATTTTGAATTTCAGATGTTATGAACTTAAATACAATTAAATGCATTTACTCAAATATTGTTTCCATTTCTTGTCATTAGGAGCTACCACTGGCACATCTGAGAGGTCAAGCCCTGGAAGTAAAACAGGTAAATATGGGAGAGGCGCAGAAACCTCTGATATTTAACGCTAAGAAGCAAGTCATCTGGGACATTAGCCAATGTCTTTATTGTGGCCCTGAATTTAAAAATGGAGTTTGCACCTTGTTTTGACAAGATAACTCTAAGAAGAATCTTATCTCTTCAAGTCCCAGACAGTCTTATGGGCCATTCTCAGGTTGGTAAATGCATCACTATTTGAATTCTCTGTTTCTCTCTTCTGCTTTAGGTACCACTGGTGCAATCTCTGGCACAACAGTTGCACCTGGAAGCTCTAGCACAGGTAAAGTATTAACCTAATGGGGAGTATAAGGAACCTCAGTGATGGTTTGGCTTCTTCCTTCAACTCCTCCAAACCGTCCCTACTATACTCAGTGGATACCACCCAACTTTTCTGAGTTATATGCATCTTCAAAATTTATTTTTTTTAATATATTTTACATTTTATTAAATCATCAAATATAAGCACTGGGGTATAGTTTTATTAGTAAAAAATAGCAAAAACAATGATAAAGAAAAACAGAAAAAAGAAAATGTGCCTCAGACCAGAATATCATAACAGAAGTTTTGTGGAAGCTGCATTTTATTTGAAAATCCACCCATTTTTGCTAACATACATTTTAATATTGTAAACAAAAATAGAATCTGCAGAGACAATGCAACAAGTATGCTTAAACTCATGTACAGAATTGCTCTCTGACAACAAACTGTCCTCCTTAAAGCCCCTCTCAACCCAAATGTTAAGATGTATTTACACGAAGCACCGATCAACAGTGCAGTTTAATTCTTCATTAACTAAACTCTTGGCTAGACATTAATTTTAAAGATACTATTTCCCCTTATTTAAAAGGTACATGATCATAACATGGCATGAGCCAAATAAAAGGTTCAAGGATTTTGTCCCCTCCTCTCCCCCCATAACGCCTCCTAGAGTTTTACTGAAATTTAGTATTCTTCTCTTTCCTTTCTTTCACTTAGGGGCTACGACTGCTTTGGGAAGTGGTGAAACCACCCAGGGTGGAATTAAAATAGGTGAGCACTAGCAACTAAACAATTATTTTTCTCTTCATCTTAATCTAAATCATGTTGGCTATTAGAAATTGAAGGGAAAAAAATAAATTCAAGGGACGTTTTGCTCTATTCTATCTGAATCTCATTTTGGGTACAAATTATTAGGATATTGGGTTTCCCTTGTGGATCTGCTGGTAAAGAATCTGCCTGCAATGTGAGAGACCTGGGTTTGATCCCTGGGTTGGAAAGACTCCCTGGAGAAGAGAAAGGCTACCCACCCCAGTATTCTGGCCTAGAGAATTTCATGAACTCTATAGTCCATGGTGTTGCAAAGAGTTGGATATGACTGAGTGACTTTCACTCACTTCACTTATTAAGATATTAAGTGCCCTTCATTTTATCCCATGTGAATTGCCTTTTTGGGTATATTTGTAATAAAGTGGCATAATAGAGACTACACGTGATGTATCACTTTAAAGCAATAAAGTTCCTGATATTGTTTGTTCTAAAGCAAACCCTAGTTTGAATCCCTAGTAAAAGGGAATACAAATTGATTCTCTCCTCTTGTGATTTCAGTTACCATGGCGGTGACTACTGGCACAATGGTGGCACCTGGAAGTTCCAACACAGGTGAGTCATGGAAAAGTTGAAGAAACCTCCCTATCTGAACTTTAGAGACCTGATGTCTCCTATAGAGATATTACAGATAGTAATACCCTTATACACTTCCCCGAAGTTCTGCATCCCCTGCCACTTTTTCCTATTTCTTCTCAGAGGCTACAACTCCTGCAGAAGTCAGAAGAAACACTGAAGTTGGAATAGCAACTGGTGAGTGGTTGGCTCTTTCTGCCTTTGGGTTCAACAGTTTTTTATTTAAGTTTGTGTTAGATGATGGGTGAGTAAGAAAACTGACTGAGAAAGAGTTTCATATTCCATTTGAAGAGACAGTACATCAGGTGAGTCAGATTTGGCTCTTTAGACTGAATTTCTCCATATATCAGCCTTTCAGATGTGATTCTCTGAAGCTAAGAATGGTGTGTTATTCTCAATCCTTTATCCATCTTGCCACTGCCGGTGTTGCTTCAGGATTAACTGGAGTTTCCAGGGCACCACAAAATTCCACTTCTGCTTAGTTATATGTTTAATTCATTCATCTTGGACTTCTCTTGCATGTAAACCCATTCTTGTGGGTTTACCCTCATGACCAAAGTCCCAACAAATCAAATTTTAAAAATTTATACCCCTGAACACACACCCGAGGAGGACCCACTGAAGCAACAGGAAACCAAATCACAGGAAATGAAATAAATGTGCAGAGGAAAATCACTTTTACCCAAAGCCTTAAACCATAGAAAAAGGTCTCTTTTCTGAGACTTTTGCATTTATTGGCTAGGGAAACCAAAGAGATACTGGGAAAACATGGTATTTGCTTCTCTTTGCCCAAAGAAGCCCCGTTATTGCTTTTAAGAATCATGTGAATTATCCATTTATGCTATTTTAAGGACTAAAAAAAAATTGTTACTATCTCTTTCTCTCAATTTCATAATCTATCATTCTCTCCCAACCTCATTTTCACTTCCAATTCAAATACCACTGGTATATCTTTTTTTTTGCCATATTTGTTTCAGAGATTCCAACATGAGTTAGTCAAAGTTACCAAAGAAAGCTCTCTATAAGTATCTCAAGCAAAAACCATCTTCTTTGGGGCCATTTCTTCTATTATTACAAAACATTTTTTCAGATTTCAAAATTGTTTAAAATTATGTTACATTTTTCTTTTTTACTCCTAGAAACTACCACTTCAAGACTCAACAGTGATGCCGCTGGGAGTGGAATACAAAGAGGTCAGTCATGCTATTACATAATTGTTGAGATTTAGCTGGTTATTTGTAGGGTTTTCTATAGAGAAGAGATGACAAAATTTTGCATTTGAAGACTTTTGAGCCAATTAAAACTGGTCATCTTAGTGCACTAGAATTTCCTGGACTAAAGATTTCATCAGACTCATATTTATTAGAACATAGTTTTCTGACAGTAAATATCATCATGAAAACAAGAGTCCTTTTTTGAAGACTGATACTTTACTTGTCTTCATTGTCACTGTCATCACATAAGATGAAGTCACTGTTACCAAGAAGTTTCCAACCCAGGTAAATTAAGGTGGCTGAAATAAACTTAAGGCATTCTTGGAGCCTCACATTGAGATTTTTTGTTTAAAAAAGTGGAAATGATCAGGGAAGAAATATTTCCTCTATTCTATTAAAAAGCATGGTAGTGTAAAACAGTTCAGGAAATTATTACAGTCCAGCATACTTAAGAAATGCAACCCAGATGATGAGAGAGAACTATAAAAGCAGGTGCTGGGAGGTTCTTTGGAACTTCTATATCTCAAAATTATAACAGAACTTTCCTGAAGTAAGGAAAAAATGAGATGATGCATCAATTTTATATTTTACCATAATACTATTGTAATATAGGTGTCAGGTATGGCACAAAAACTTAAAACATGATTCCATGGTCAATAAGGTACAATTAAAAGTTATTTGATATGTTGATTACCATGCACAGATTTGCCTTTTTGGAAGATTAATTAGAGGGTTAATTAGAGAATTGATATGAAGGAGAGTAGGAGAGTAAGGGTGGAGACGTCATCCAATTTGAGACTGTTAGAAGTTAGGCATGATTAGAGACCGACATAAGGCAGTGATGTGAGAAAATAGAAGGCAGAAGGGTGATCAAAAGGACTGAGAAATCTGTTGACAAGTTAGAATCAATTTCAGCATGGTGATGGGAGGGATAAAGGATAGCAAGGACTGTGGATGACTTCTAATTCATAGTTTCAGTGCCTGTGTGGATGGATGTGAGTGCCATCCACTAAATTTTGGTATATACTGGGGGAAGAAAAAGAATTATAACTGACAGGTGATATAGTGAGGTCAGATTTTTGACAGTTTTAGTTTAAGGTGCTCTGAGGTATCCAGTTAGTATGCTTAGCAGGAGTAATAAGTGCAACCAGAATACAGAAGATAGGTTTCATTGGAGAGAGAGATTTGTTAGTGATTTACTGACAAATGCTATTTTAAATTGTGGTTGCTGGTAGATTTCCTTATGGTGAACATACAGAGTGAGAAGAGATGAAAAATAAATTGAAAGATGATTCCTTGGGTCATATAGGTGGGCAAAGAACTAAGCCTGAAAAAGGGAGGATTTGCGGCTCAGCGGTTGCTAATGTGGGTTAAGTCAAATCCGTAAAGCAGAGTCTGGAAGTGCTGGAGACTATATTGCTTCTGATTTCGGGATTCAGAATGTCAGATCAAACAGGGTCAATCAGAATTTGTGGGGAACATAGGTGTTTTTAATGTCTTTTCTTTTTTTCTGAGAGCCTAGCCTTACAATTATAAAACTTTGAAATTAAAAGAACTGCCTCAAAATAATTAATTAAAATGTCAAGATTCTTTTTTTTTTTTTAAATGTCAAGATTCTTGATCCTTCCCATTTTAACTTTCAGGAGTCCCTAACATAATTTCAGGGAGCCAATCTACCATTAATAGAAGCAAAATATGTGAGGATGGGGAAGTTAAAAAAGTGAAGATGGGAGACATCCATCTCCATGATACTAATTCCAGAAAAGAAGGATCTTAGGAAACTGGAGTTTACCACAGGAAATGAAACACATCAAACAATATTTATTTCACCTTTCGGAATAAGGAATCCTAGAGAAGGAATGCAGTCTTTTACAAAAACACATTATTTATCCTGAACCATGATCTCCATCCAATAAGAAAGTTATCCCTGTCCATTTTTTTTTTTTCCTTTCTTTTCTTCTCTCTCCCTTCCCAGGTACCACTAGGACAAGCGCTGGAACTACATCCTCACCTGGAGGTTTCAATGCAGGTAAGTCAAAAGTGAAAGGAATGCTCCTTTAAGTGGCTGTAGGGAGAAGATCATACACTGCTATATTATTTTCACATTTTCAAACTCCAGCTTCTCAATTTTTCCTCCTTTGCTCTTCTAGAAGCAACAACTTTTAAAGAGCATGTTAGAACCACTGAAACAAGAATTTTGTCAAGTGAGTTTTGCCATGTTTTGGATTTTCAATATTTTTTTCACTTGAGTTTACTGCATATGGGTTATGAATGAAAATTAACATGCTTAAAACTGGTTTCTTTTAATTTAATAACAGATCATAAGGACGACCTCTATTATTTCCCTGGGTTTTCCTAGAGAACATAATATAGATGTAATTCTCTAGGTACATTCTTTATTTGAAAATTTTCTCCCTTTGTTTTGTCAGGCAATAGCCTACAATCAGTAGGGGTCACCAGTAGCCAAGAAGTGAGGGAAGATCGCTATACTAGATGAAGTAAATTTCTTAATTAAGGCTTTGATTGAGATGCCTAACCCTTGATCACAAGTTTAGACAATTTTTTTTCATTTGTTTGTTTGTTTGTCTTGTTTTGTTTTTGTTTCAGTGCTGGAAAACTGGGAAGTTAAGTCACTAGAAGTAAATCATGAGACTATAGGACAGACATTCTCTCATTGAATATCAGATTCTAGATGATTCTATATTTAGAGAAATAAGACCTATGGTGCAAGTCTGACTTTTCCTCCTATATTTTATTTGAATAGTCATGAGAAAGTGTTCTGGAAAATATGCCAAGCTTAACATTTTGTGCAAGAAAAACTGTTAAACTGTTTTCTATTGCTTCAGAGAAACAGGAACACTTGTCAATACAGTCAGTGCTCTTCTTAGGGTGAGAAAGGCTTCGTGAGGCTCATGCTTCTCTCTTATTGCAGGTACCACTGGGAGAGCCTCTGGCACAGCAGTTATTCCTGAAAGTTCCAACACAGGCAAGTAAATATTTAATAAGTGGCTCCAAGTAGTTAAGCCTAGAAAAATAACAGCCCTTTTCTGGAGTTTACTGTCTGTTGTAACACCAGCTCAGCAAGTTCTAACTTCAGTCGTGTTTGCCTGTCTTAGGGACTGGCACTGGAACTGGAAGGCAAACAAGTGTCAGTGGTTCAGCTCTGTTGTGTTTTCAGATAGTGATTCCTATGCCTTTGCTTCAACACAAGGGAACGTGTAGGGTAATGATAAAGGGCCAGGAAATGGGCAGAATCTTTTTAGAGCCTGTCCTCTTCCAGCCATCTATTGTTTTCTTGTTCTGAGTTTCTGGACTCCACGCAGAGCCGCCAGATAATTTTGTAGAAGTACACAAGGGCACTACTGCTAAAGGGAAAAGTGAGAGGCTGAAATCCAGCCAGCATTTCCTCAACAAGTTATAAAAGTCACGTGGCTTCTTCTGCTCAGAGGGGTTTTTTTCTGTCATTGTTTTTTGTTTATTTTTTACTTCATAAAATTGCTCTATGGGCTAACTACATTAGCCTAGAGTTTCATCTGACTTCCTTTCTCTTCCTGTTATGATCTCTGAGGCTAACAATAGAAGCTATGTCTGATATGAAGTGTCCCTCACTTGTCTTTGCAGGTACTGCTGCAGTATCAAGCAGAGTTACTAGTGTCTCAGAAAGTTCCAGACCAGGTAATGGAAATTACTAACTCTAATGAAGTTAACATGTTCAACATTCTTCTCCCCTTTAACACTCAAGTGTTTCAGAAAGGGAATATTTATGTCTATCAATATTAAACTTGAAGTGTAAAAGAAAAACTGTATCAGATGGAGTTAGACAAAGAAGACTTTAAGATTATGAAACAGAAGTCAAGAGCATTGCATTAGGGTTGAGATTTTGAACTTAACTTTGCTGAAATAAAGAGCAGGAGAGTTTTAAAACTCTGGGGTGAACTAGTGGGAAAGTACCGGAGACAGTAGTGGAGAGGTTGGTCCATGTGATCAGGCAATCTCTGTTTGCTAATTGGTGCTCCAAGAATGAAGTTAGTCTCCTACCATCCCAGAGTGACAGGAAGATGTGGGTGCTATTTTTCATGGCTTTTTTTGTTTTTTACAATATCGTATTAGTTTCAGATGTACAGCATAGCATGTCAGTATTTTCATAGATTATACTCTCTTTAAAATTATTGCAAAATAATGACTGTATTCCCTAAATGTATCAATATAATATTTACTTACTGCTTATCTATATTACATATAGTAGTTTGTATTTGTTAATCCCCTATCCCTATCTTGTCCTTTTCTTCTTTCCTTTCCCCACTAGTATCCACTAATTTGTTCTGTATATCTGTGAGTCTGTTTCTATTTTGCTATATGCATTTTGTTTGTTTTATTTGCTAGATTCCACATATAAATGTGATGCCACATATAGTGTTGGTCTTTGCATGATATATTTCACTAAGCATAGTACTCTTTAAATTCATCCACATTGTTGCAAATGGCTGAATTTCATTCTTTTTTGGCAGAGTAATATTCTATTTAAAAATATTCTACATCTTCTTTATAATATTCTATTATATATGTGTGTGTGTATATATATGATATTGTGTATATATACATATATATATACATATATATATTTTTTCTACATCTTCTTTATCCATTTATCTGTTGATGGACACTTGGTTTGTTTCCCTATCTTGGCTACTATAAATAGCACTGCTATGTACATTGGAGTGCATGTATCTTTTTGAACTAGAGTTTTTATTTTGTTTGAATATACATCCAGAAATTGTGGGGGCATATGGTAGTTCTGGCTTCCCAGTTCTGGCCATATGGTAGCTTTGGCTTCTTTAGTAGTAAAGAAACTGCCTGCCAATGCAGGAGACGTAAGAGATGTGGGTTCAATCCCAGGGTCGGGAAGATCCCATGGAGAAGAGCATGGCAACCCATTCCAGTATTTTTGCTTGGAGAATCCCATGAGCAGAGGAGCCTGGCAGGCCCCAGTTCATAGGGTCACTAAGAGTCGGATATGACTGAAGTGACTTAGCATGCAGACATGAGATTCAAGACCTAAATGTGAGACCTGAAACCATAAAGCTCTTAGAAGAGAACATAGGTAGAACACTCTGACATAAACCATAGCAATGTTTTTTGGATCTGTCTCCTAAAGGAAAAGCAAAAAAAACCCAAAAAACAAAAAACACACACAAATGGGATTTAATTATACTTAAAAACTTTTGCATATCAAAGGAAACCATCAATGAAACAAAAAAAATCTTGACTAGCAGACAATATTTGCAAATGATATGACTGACAAGAGGTTAATACTCAAACTCTATAAACAGTTCATAAAACACTCCCCTCAAAATTAATACTAGACAGCCAGGAAAACAGGATATATGAAGTAAAATAGTTCAGTGTGAAAATAGTTTTTGTCACTAACAGAAGGGGACTCTAGAGTGATAGTTACCAGGGCCACAGTGAAGGGAAGCGTTAGTCACTCAGTTGTGTCTGACTCTTTTCAATCAATCCCATGGACTGTAGCCTGCCAGGCTCCTCTGTCCATGGGATTCTCTAGGCAAGAATACTGGAATGGATTGCAGTTCCCTTCTCCAGGGGATCTTCCCAACCCAGGGATGGAAACTGAGTCTCCGATTTTGCAGCAGATTCTTTACCACCTGAGACATGAAATACTCAATTCTTCTGTGAGCGAGGAGTCGCTGTGTTAGGGCCTACTATGTTTCAATAGCAGGAGAATGAACTGGCATTCGTAGGTGTACTAGTACATCCCAGGTGCTTTGAGACTCTTGTTCTATGTGAAGATGTCTTCAGATACACTCTTCTGCAACCAGAAAAAGTTCACTGCTCTTTTCCTGCTCATTTTAGGTACCTCCAAGGAAGTATCTGAAGCAACTACTGGTCCCAGAATTTCTACCACTGGTAAGTCAAATAAAAATAAATGAACTTTGCTTGGTGGCATCTCAGAAGACAGGTCAGCTTATCTGAAATTAAACTCTAGCTTTTATAGTTCCCTTTACTCACCACTTTTGCTCCTCTCTTAGCAGTCACTGCTTCCACAGGAGTCAAGGAACCCTCTGGTTCTGGAATGCAAACAGACAAATACTAGAAATACAAACTCTTCAATGATCAATGTGCCTGTGATTTTATATAAGGAGTTGAATTTGGGAGAGAAGAGTGGTGGGAAAGAAACAGGAAAGAAAGGCCAGGAAGATTATTCTACATTTCCTCATGAAATATGACTTGAATATTACCTAGGGATTTTTTTTTTTCCTCCAAGATTTTTTGGGTTAGGCTTTTACCAGAAATCCTTACTGGAAGTTATGACCTTGAAATCTCTGATAATGAGATTATGAAATGCTCAGGAATTAAAAATTCCTGAAATTTTTAATATTTCCTTTAAAATTTCCACTTCAAAGTCAAATGGAATCACAACAAGCCCCAGAATATCCTACCCAGGTAAAATGAAATAACCCAAAGGCACTGGCATGAATTGTCTCTTCCACATGGAGCTTTCCTTAAGCATGAATGTGTGTGATCATTTGTGCAGGCATACACACAGAAACTTGATATGTGTACATGCTCTCTGGTAAATAAAATGACAGCAGTATCCTTTTGTTTCTCCTCAGAAACCACTGTTGTCGCAACAGAACAAGAAATTGAAAATAAGACAGGTCAGTGTTGGAAAAGTACTAATTTCCTTGTCACTTATTCAACTAACATTTCCTTTAACCTTATATTTGCTAGACTTGAGCAGCCCTTGCCACTTGATTACTTTGTATGTGTTGGTGGGGGAGATTATTGTGGGCACACGATATCATTTCAGGGCATTTAATGCTACTCAAACAATGGACAACAATTATGGTCCTGGGACTATGTTGAGACTGTTAATTTCTGTTTGCTAGTTGGTAGGGCTGAGTGAAGAGATCAGAGAAGAGATGACTGCATTTAATATTGGCTAGGGTGAGGAGGGAATTCTTGCCATATGACACTTGAAAAGACAGAGACATTAGACAGCGTGAGGGACTTCAGGAATTAACCAGGTATTGGGATTGTCTGTGTGAGTTTCAGGGAAGAAATGAGATTAGAAAGGTGAGCAGAGCAATGCTTATGAAGGACTCTATATACAAACTTAAATGAGACTTTATCCTTATAATAAATGGGATCACCTTAAGGATTTTGTTAAAAGGATGATATGATCAGATAAGTCTTAGAAAAGTTACTCTGATAGAAATGTGAAGATTATAAGTGTATTTTTTTATTCCTTCTATTATAAATTTCTCCTATGAACATGGAATTCTGGGTAGGGAAATTTTTCTACTATATTTATACTTAAAGATCATTTCTCTCTCCTGTTGCTGGTTTCTGTTAATCTGCTAAATATTTATAATTGGGAATTAATCTAGTCTGTCTTAGTAAAGAGAAGCATTTTATGCCCCAAACTTATATACCTTTAATTAATTTGTTTTCTGTTTTTCTGTACCTACTAGTTGTTGGGGTCCTTTTATTTGAACCTGGAGAAACTTAAAAATTCCTCTCAGATATTCTGTTGCTCATAGTTCAGCCTTCTGCTTGGTAGATAGAATAAAAATATTAATCTGAATTTTAGCAGTTTGAAAATAGAATGTGAAATTTATGAATGGATTGTTGGGTTGACCAAACTTTCTGACATGGGAAGCCTCCAAAAAAGTAAGAAGTTTAAAGCATTTGGCGGGATTGGAGACAGAACAAGATTAAAATGCCATAAGACAAAAAGAACATACAAATTCTTAGAGTATTAATATCAGTTAACACACAATACATTTGTTCTATTTATATATATGGAAAATTATATGCTTTTGATAGTGTTATCCTTTTCTTTATTTGATTATATATTTTATTATCCTATTTATCAGAACTGTCTATCAAGACATTTGGAAGAGAAATTTACTTTGATTCTCGTTCCTTCTTTTGATCCTCCTATTTCCTTCCCATTGACATTTGAGAGCTAAAGGAAACACTCTCTAATGGTTAAATATCAAATGCCATAAGGAGTAGAAAGGGAAGATTGATGGGGATATGTCTGCTTATAAGACTAGCAATGTGGCCATGTATTTTCAGTAATAGACAACTGTATATACTCCAAACCTATTACAATAACTTGAGAGACTAATATAAGGTATCTGTTTTTATACAGAATGTTCAACATCTCTTCCACCACCTCCAGGTAAGAATACCTCCACTTGAAAATCAAATAATTCTACATTAATGATTCTTCTTGTAAATCAAGCTTCAGAGGTCATACCAATAAAAGTCACTAGCTAAGGAAGTGTTATAGAATAGGAAAACTTGAAATGGAAGAATTTAGCTTTTATTCACCAAATAGTGAATGAAAGGCTGTTTTGTCACACACAAACTAATAAAGCCTAACCAAACAAATGTATTTTGTCTCTTAGTCAAAATAGAATTTACTTACACAATAAAGTGTTTCATGTAACTATATGATATCCTGATTGAAATATTGCCTTTTATTTTTTAAACTAGATAATTCCAGCTATTTTTGAGGACTGAATTTTAGCAACAAAAATTAGGGGTAATCAGAGTTCAATAATTTTAGTAGAATTTGAGTTTCTCTAAAATTATCAAGCCAATGTGGTGTGCTTTCTATTAAGTGGTGAAATTACAAAAAAATATCATTTTCTAATTTTAGCATACAGTGGGAGAAGGGATGTTTTCAAAGAAAATTTCATATAGGCTGAAAATAAATTTCACAGTGAAATATGTGACCTATGTATTATATAGCCAACACATACTATGTGTTACACATCTTACATATATTACATATACTATTTACTATATTACATATATTACATAATACTGCTATGTGTTATACATCTTACATATACTTTGGAAGGATTCTCAGGTATTTCATTAGAGAACTGGAATTTGAGAACAGTAAGTAAGCTAGTTCAGGGTATATACATCAAAGAAGAGAGACAAGGTTGAGATGATAGACTGGAGACACATTATGGCAACCTCAGAAGCCAGAATGCTAAAATAAAGTATTTAGTTTACAGGACTATAAGAAGTATCTAATCAAGGCAATGATGAGATGAAATGTAGGCTTTAGGAAAACTGTCCTACCTATGACATAGAGAATTGACTGGATCGGGAAGAGGCCTGAGTCAGAGCAACCCATTTTAAAAGAGCCAGATTATGCCAGACCAAAAATACTAAGGTCCTAGAATAGTATTATAACAAGTAAAACCAGGAAAGGAAGGGATTCAAATGAGGATAAAGATACAAGATTTTGCAGTAGATTCAATGCCAAATGATGAGAAGGAAACAATTAAGATGACTTCTAAGTTTTAGGCTTAAGTAATTAAAAGAACAGTTTAGGCCTTAATAGGAGGTGGGCTTCCTTAGTGGCTTAGATGGTAAAGAATCTGCATGCAATGTAGGAGACCTGGGTTCAATCCCTGTGGAGGGAAGATCCCCTGGAGAAGGGAATGGCAACCCACTTCAGTGTTCTTGCCTGGAGAATCCCATGGACAGAGGAGCCTGCTGGGCTACAGTCCTTGGGGTCTCAAAGGTCCAAACAGGACTGAGTGACTAACACTTTCACTTTAATAGAAGGTGGCCAATTTAGAAGAAAAACTGGTTTTGAGGGAAATATGATTTAATCTGTTTTGTGCACATTGAATTTGAGGTTCTTTAAAATCTGTTGGGGTGCTGTTTATTAGGCTGAGGGAGATCTGGGTGCATAGGCTGTAAGAGATGTCTGTTCAGAAGTTTGAGAGTATGTACTTGACATTTGGCACAACGGAACCTTTTGCACTAAGACCAAGAAGGAAGGAACGGTGGCCCCACAGGAGCCTTGCCTGTGGGTGTCCCGGAGTCTCCGGCAAAGGTGTGGGTTGGTGGTGGCCTGCTGCAGGGTTGGGGGCACAGTCTGTAGCAGCACATGCATGGGATCTTTTGAGGGAGGTCACCATTATCTTCATTACCTCCACCATAGTTTAAGTGTTAGTCCTTCACTCGTGCCCAACTCTTTGTGACCCCATGGACTGCAACCCACCAGGCTCCTTTGCCCATGAGATTTTCCAGGCAAGGATACTGGAGTGGGTTGCCATTTCCTTCTCCAGGGGATCTTCCCCACCCAGGGATCCTGGGTCTCCTGCACTGCGGGAAGATTCTATACTGACTGAGCTACAGGGGAAACCCACCATAGTTTGGCCCCAGGTAAATAGCAGGAAGGGAACACAGCTCCACCCATCAACAGAAAATTGGATTAAAGATTTACTGAACATGGCCCCGCCCATCAGAACAAGACCCAGTATCCCCCTCAGTCAATCTATCCTATCAAGAAGCTTCCATAAGCCTCTTATCCTTCTCCATATGAGGGCAGACAGACTGAAAACCACAATCACAGAAAACTAACCAATCTAATCACATTGACCACATCCTTGTCTAAATCAATGAAACCATGAGCCATGCAGTGTAGGGCCATCCAAGACAGATGGGTCATGGTGGAGAGCTCTGACAAAATGTAGTCCCCTGGACAAGGGAATAGAAAACCACTTCAGTGTTCCTGCCTTGAAAACCCCATGAATAGTATGAAAAGACAAAAAAGATAGGACATTGAAAGATGAACTCCCCAGGTCAGTAGGTGCCTTAGATGCTACTAGAGATCAGTGGAGAAATAACTCCAGAAAGAATGAAGGGATGGAGCCAAAGCAAAAGCAACACCCAATTGTAGATGTGACCAGTGATGGAAGCAAGGTCCAATGCTGTAAAGAGCAATACTGCATAGGAACCTGGAATGTTAGGTCCATGAATCAAGGCAAATTGAAAGTGGTCAAACAGGAGATGGCAAGAGTGAACGTCAACATTCTAGGAATCAGCAAACTAAAGTGGACTGAAATGGGTGAATTTAACTCAGATGACCTTTATATCTACTACTGTGGGCAGGAATCCCTTAGAAGAAATGGAGTAG